CATTTCTTCTCATTTTATCTCATGGAGAGTAGGATTTGGGAATGAGTAAATCATTGTAAAAATACTTAGATATTGTTATGTCGAACTTTGGAATTACCTTACAAATTATAACTAAGGTAGATTATTATTTAGAATGGCCAAAATCTAGCTGGGCGGTGGTGGTGCATGACTTTAATCCCAGCACTTGGGAGGCAGAGGCAGGCGGATTTCTGAGTTCGAGGCCAGCCTGGTCTACAGAGTAAGTTCCAAGACAGCCAGGGCTACACAGAGAAACCCTGTCTCAAAAAAAAAAAAAAAAGAATAATCAGTTTCTATTTTTGGCTACATAGTATAGAAACAATTTAAAATCTATGTTTATGTATGTCATCCTCTTGATTGCTTTAAGAGTATGTTCCCTGTTTCTTAAAGGACTGCTGGAGATCTTACAGTCCCCAATTTCAAGTTTTATTACAGAGCCATGGTGATAAAAACAGACACATTGATCCATGGATTTGGACTGAAACAAAATTCAAATACCAATTGATGCCAGATTATTTAAGTAAGCCAGATATACACACACAGCAAAAAGGATACCATCTTCAATAAATGAGGCTGGTCAAACTGGGTGTCTGGATATAGGAGAATCTAAATAAACCTATACTTATCATCCTGCACAAAACTCAAGTACAAATCAATCAAAACTCTCAACATAAATCCATATACACTGAACCTCATAGAAGAGAAAGGGTGGGATAGCTTTGAACATACTGGTCAAGGAAAAGACTTTCTGGACAGAACACCAATAACATTGACAATAGAGATTAATATCAACAATTAATAAATTGGACCTTATGAAACTGAAATCTTCTTTAAGGCTAAGGAAATTTTCATCCGGACAAAATGGCAGCCTAAACAATGGGAAAATATTTTATCAAGTTCACATCTTTTATTTCATTAAGTTATATATTTATTTATCAGTTAATTCATTCATCCATTTATTTTCCTCCATTCAGATTGTAGCTTCAACTCCCATCTCTTTCTCTTCGAAGAGGTAGAAGTCTCCTGTGGATATCAACTAGCCTTGACATAACAAGTTGCATTAGGACTAGACACATTGTCTCTTATTCAGCTTAGACAAGGCATTCCCAGTTAATGGAAAGGGACCCAAAGGCAGAGAGCAGAGTCAAGATATTCCCTGATCTTGCTGTTAAGAGTCCCACATGAAGGCCAAGTTACACATCTGTTACATGTCAAGGGGGACTAGGTCTATCCCATGCATGCACTCTGGTTGTGAGCCTCTACAAGCCCAAGATAGTTTACTTTCTGTGTTTCTCAGGGTGTCCTTGATCTCTCTGGCTCTTACAATATGTCCTCTTCCATGAGATTCTTTGAGTTCTACCTAACATTTGACTGTAGATCACTGCATCTCTATCAGTGCCTGTATGAAATCTCTCAGACAGTTTTGCTAGGCTTCTTTCTACAACTATAGGAGAATATCTTTAATAGTGGCAGAGGTAGTCTCTCTCTAATGACAAGGGTCTCAAGTTGAGTCAGTCCTTGGTTGACCATTCCCTCAATTTCTGTTCCATCTTTATCCCTGTACATCTTGTAGGCATGACAAATTGTGTGTTAAAGATTTTGTGGCTGTCCCTCCATTGGAAGCATTGCCTTGTTACAGAAAATGGCTGCAGGCAGGTTCCACATCACGTAATATCCAAAATATACAATGAACTCAAGAAGCAAATATTCCAATTTAAAATGGAGCATAGATCTAAACAGGGAATTATCAATAGATGAATCACACATGGCCAAGAAACAAAGAAAATGTTCAACATCCTTAGTCATCAAGAAAATGGAAATCAAATCTACTTTTAGATACTTTTCCTACAACTTTCAAGATTTCTAAGATCAAAAGGACAAGCAATTCTTCATCCTGGAAATGGCGTTAAAAGGCGCATTCATACATTGCTGATGAGAGTGCAAACTCATACAGACATTACGGAAATAAGTTTACCAGTTCCTCAGGAAGATTGGAATAGAACTACCTCAAGAGCTATCTATACCACTCTTGGTTATATATCCAAAGGATAATTCATCCCCCCACAGGAACACTTGCTTATCAATATTCTTCAAGTAATCTTCATACAGGCCAGAAACTGGAAAGGGTATAAAGGATATAGAAAATGTGGTATATTTTTGCAATGGGTTATTTTACTCAGTACTTAAAAAAATAAATTTCACAGGCAACTGGATGGAATATGAAAAAAGTATCCTAAGTGAAGAATCTCAGACCAAGAAAGACAAATATGATATGTGTTCACTCACATGCCCATACTAGCTATGAAATCAGTGATAACTAAGCTATAGTCCATAGAACCAGAGGAAATATGTATACAGTAATGGAGTACTATGGAAACCTAATACAGTGGACAGTTCCTAAAATATATGCATATATGAAGTCCATCTAAATGAAATTGTCAAATAGTGAATGAGGAACAGTCCCAACTAGACCATTTTTGTCACAAAATGAAATTTAGGTCCCAGGACTGGATTACATCTTATTAACCTTTTAGCCAAATGACTCCCACAGAAATCCCAAACAGACCAGGCCATTGAGAAGACTGCAGATTACTCTCAACAAACTAACAGCAAGACCTGATCACTAAAGTCACAGCTTTGTGTACAAAGCTTTGAACTTAGAGATGTCAAGCTGATACCTATGCAAAACCATCAATACCATGCTCCAGTGTCTTTAGTACAGAAACATACTCTACATTGCTCCCAAAAGAGAAACTTAAAATGCCAACACAGTCACAAACACTTTATTTATACAATGGCATGTTATCTGCAAGATAGGCCAGGGCAGTGGTGATGCAAAACTTGTGGGAGTGACCAAAAAATAATTGAATTGACATAATACCCCTGACAAAAGATGTAACCTACACCTGATAGTGCTTGGGAACAAAAGAACTAAGACAAGATAGCCATGGGCCTTAGTTGAAAGCAACTAATACTTATGTGAAAAAAAAAAAGAAGAATGATAAAATGACTTGTAATGATCTTCTATGACATTTGTTTAGCCATCATCAGAGAAGCTTTCCCCTACAGCAGACGGGAACAATATAGAGATTCAGAGCCAGACATTACATGGAAAATGAGAGATTTCGGACACTCAACCATAAATGGAGTGTCTTCACCAAACTCTCCCCTCAGAGATCAGGGAAGCCAGTGGCAGACAAGGCAGAAAAGCCAGGCGGTATGGAGAACACCTAATAAACAAGGTACTCTGACTAAACATGAACAAAGATCATATGAACTCACAGAGCCTGAAACAGCATTCATCCTGTACATGGCCTGTATGAGTCTGCAGCCAACCCTCTGAGCTTATCTTATGGCTTACATGTCAGAGATTTTTTTCCACTTAATTTCTTTATTAGTTTTTCTGCAGTTAACTTTCTATATCAAGGATTTTTGTTTTGTATTCTGTAATCTAAAAGTCTCTTATCAGCCACCAGAAAACACAAAATTGGGCTCTTTGTACAGAGAGGAAAAGTAATGAACTCCATTAAAAGTTCATATTGGCCAAAGAGAAGACAACCATCAATGGAAAACCACATACAGGAGGACCTGATTTCATATATATATATATATATATATATATATATATATATGATATTTATAGATACCTTAAGAACAAAGCAAAAAGATATTTAATATTTGAAGTGCTATCTACAGTAAGGGGTTAATTGTAACAGCTTTAAACAGTCACATTCAATATTCACGGAAGCACGTGAGTGAACAGAATCAGGGATAGGATACACTCCATTGGACTCCAGAGCAGACTAGAAATGGCTTACAGTTACAGAAAGGGGCGGCATATGCCACAGATACATGGATGTCGGTGTCCTCTTGTCTCAGAACACCTGCACACCACCACATACATCACCCTCTTCCCCATAGCCCCACATAAGTGCTTTCTCCTCTCTGAGGGGTGACAGTGGAGGAAACCAATGGCCAGGCTCAAACCATCACTCTGGGCTGTGAGAGTCCACTGGGTGAGATAGCAGACATGGTTGTGGGCTGTAGGAGCTTTTGTTCACTTCAAGGTTGGTCCATCTCCCATCCAAAGACTAGGGAGTCTCCAGCCCCTCCAACAAGCAGAGGTCATTGTATCTTTCTGTCTTGGATCTTTCTAACAAGGTCACTTCTCAAGTAATGTCTGAACACTGGTTCAAGTTGACCAGGATACTGTGACAAACTCTTGGTGAAATTTGGGACAAGAGGGACAGACCTACAGTACCTGCCAGATCCCAGACAGGTAATAGTGACGTTCTCAGGGGCTACACACAGCATACAAAGCAATCAACATTCTACCTCTGCCAACAGGGGTAAGAGACCAGGTGACCTTTCCCTCAGGGTGGCACATGGCCCCGTGGTGGCAGAGTATGGGGGTTCCTGCCTCCATGTCAGGGTTCTCCATATTCTTCATCCTGGCTGGCCTCAAGTCACCTGACCTGCCCAGAGAGCACCAGGAAAATGGCTGTCTACAGCGCCCCCTTGCGGCTACCATCCTCACAACTGTCACCTCTATTATTAGAATAGCTGTACTTTATGTAAGGGTTACAGGAAAGGTAACTCTGAGGTCCAAGGCTCCCCACTGCTCTGGCTCCCACCCACCATCTTCAAACCCCACGTCTGCTAGCTCCCGGGGTAGGCTGTGCTTTTTTCTTCGGTACTGTATCCTCTACCCTGGCCTCCCCAGCTAAGCAGAGAGGGGCCTTACCAATCAGTGACCACATTGAGTGAGATGGAGTGTCTAAGGCGAGGCCCTCACACCATCTAAGACTGTTGTGCTGTGCTGTCCTGAGGTGGATTCCCTCATTTTTTTAAATAAAAGAGAAGTAACCCCATTTCCTTCCCTTCACTCTCACAAAAATAAACTAAAGGGCAGATAAGCCTGTGCGGAGATGGCAGTGGGACCTGGGGGCAGGTAAGTGGGCATCTTGGGGAGGACGAGGGCTTCAGCAGGACACCTCCATGGTGTGGTTGACCTGGCCCATCCCCTCACTGCTGTCTGAGTGGGCACAGGGCTGAGGGGGGCCGCTATCCACAGAACTGGTGCTGGTGAGGGATGAGGTTTGTGAGAGCACAAGGCGGGTCATGCTGGCTGAGGGCATATAGCCCATGCCTTGCAGGAAGTATTTGAAGGCCTCAATCAGCTTCCCTGACTGTGTCACCTGAGGAAGACCGCCAGAATCTGCCATATTCAGGAAGGTCGTAGTGGTTGGGTCCAGTTTGGAGTTACACTCAACCATCCTGTCCTCAGAAGGCGCATTATCTCCGACTACCAGCATCACTGGGCAGTGGAGCGTCTTAGCATTGGGCACCATCCCAGGCCGGTTAATATGAAGAACTCTACGACTGTTGTACATGTTCCAGAAGAGCTGCAGGTTGGCCTGGTTCACCACGCTTGCAATCTGCTGCTGGTAGCTCTGCACCAGCCCTGTGCTGTTCACCAGCTCCTCCTGGCTGAAGAGATGAGAGAGCACAGTATCTGGTAAAGTGCTGGTCAAGCCAGAGAGCTTGGTGGCAGCCCAGTCAATCCAGCCTTTGCCGTTGGAGTCGATGTTCATCAACCCCTCAACCAAGTCAGGGAAGATGAGTGCAAACTTGTCCAACACGTAGGCTCCGGCTCCCACTCCAATGCCAATCATGTACTTGAACCCGAAGTGTTGTAACACACTCAGGAGCATAGCAGACAGCTGTTCTATGGAGGGGAACCGGTACTCCTGAGGGAACTGTGACACTCCCACCTGCTGCCCAGGGACATCCACATGGCACACCACGAAGTATTTGGTGATCTCCTGCATGTCCTCAAAGTTGAAGAAGGTATTGAAGCGCACCTTGTGGTTGAGACCCTCATCATGATAGGTGAGGATGACTGGACGGTTCCCTTTGGGAGAGCCCCGGATCACCACATGCACAAGACCATAAGGCGTCTCAGTGTCATGTTCTTTCCAGTCTGTGTCCACAACTGAGAGGAAGGTGTCAGGGTTATCCAGCTCCGAAACATCCTGGCCTCGGAGCAGGGGCTTCTCCTCAGGAAATCGCAGCTCCTGCAGCCCTGCCATGGTCACGTCATGGAATAGAAGCCCTTTTCTCTAGGTTCCTGTCTTTATGGCCCACAGAGAAGGTACTTGATCAGGATATCTCTGAGGCCCTGGATGTGGGGAAGGGGAGGCACATTTCAAAGTTTTAATGGAACTCCTGAGCGTGTGAATGAGTGTGTCTCTGAACCTTGTACTTTTTCTTGGCCTTTTTCCTTCTATTGGTTTGTATTTTCAAAGTTCAATGTGATAATTTTGTATTATCTTAATAAATTTTAGTTTGTTATATTAAAATAATGAATGAATGAATGAATGAATGAATGAATGAATGAATGAATACCTAGCTTCTAGGGTTAAAAACATAACTGTCATTAATAGCTGCTCTCCAGAGAGTCAAAAATCAGTTTTCTCTAATGAAATGACACTTGATATATCAACCACTCCAGAGCAGGCTTCATATTCAGTAGTGGACTAACTATAATTGACACCACAGTTCAGAAGAGGACGATGTGACTAGTCCTGAAGTGACATGATGTACCTGGAGGGGATCTGTCAGGAGGAAGTGATACCTAGAAGGTGTCTTCCCATTTTCAGAGGGAAGGGAGGAATGTGAGGAGATCCTGTGGGAGGGGGAACTAAGATGAGAAGGGAAGCTGATATTGGGATGTGAAGTGGGTAAATAAATGAAAAACAAAATATTTAAAAAGGATAGAAAAACAAAAATACAAAACTGTAAAGTCAGTGGCTCTTGAGTTTAGAGAGAGAGAGAGAAAGAGAGAG